AGTGCAAAAAACCACATAGGAATGTTATACCTAGGAAAACCACTGGAATATTTATTTTTGAAGAAAACACAGATCACTTTTTTCACACATTTCTTTTTATGTATATAGATTGCTAATGAAAGTCATGTCTACATGATGATCCCTCAAAATCAAAGGAAAAGATACTGACCACTATAATTTTTATCTTTAACTGGCATTGTACCATATGCAGAGTTCTCCTACTGATACATCAAGGGTCTTTTACACATTTCTGGTAAGGTTAGTTTGTTCATGTAATAATTTCAGCTGCTATTTTAAAGCTAGTGCCCTCCTCTGCTTTAGCAAAGAGTTCAGAAACTAATGCCCAAACACATTTTAGAGACTGCAAGTTAAATACAAATAAAATAGCCTAAAGCTCTTCTATTTTTAGGGTTTTTTCTTCCCAGTGCCTCAGTAGCTCTATTATTCTCCAAATGTCATGTAGCAAAACTGCTAGTTTACTGGAGAGAAACCAAACAGTAGGTGCTTACCTGTAGGAGTACTACTGCGAAATGAAGAGGAGGGAGTTATTGGAGGGGTGACTGGAGGAGTAAGGCTTCCACTGCTGTGGCGAGGTGGAGTAGATACATTCCCACGGGACACTGTGCTTGACAAAGTCAAAGAGAGTTTTGGCTGAATCTTTTTCTTCAAAGACTCCTGCTCACGTCGAGCTGCATCAGTCATAAATCTAGAACAAGAACAATAATGAAGATGAGAGGCTTGAAACACTGTCTGCAAGCAAGTTTAAGGTATTTTTTCCATCAGTGACCAAAGGGAGCTTCAAACTCAGCCATGACAAGTTCCTCTGCAGCATGCAAATGTAAAGAATACAAACTTCTCCATCATCACTGTCTAAGATCTGGGCCATTTCCTTCTGATTTCAACAGAACCTACATTAAACATTTGCATCATGTGCAAACACACAACTTTTTTTAAGCTCCAACCAGAGCTCAGCATTACACACAGTAATATAATAACTGTACTCAATCCTTTACAATAGCTACATTCAATCCTTCTATGAAAAAGTAGCTGAGTAGCTGCAAAAGAGAAAAATGTTAGCAGCAAATGTATTAAATCTGAAGGTCAAAGGGATAGTATGAATTACATAATGTAGATACATAACTTCCAATTTAGGATAATCACATCCTTTTACTAAAGGTTTTAGACAATGTTGCCTGGCATTGGGATGCCTCATCTGGAATAAAGAGAGGGTTTTTTTCACTTTTATTCTGACTCCTTCAAAAAAATAAGAAAAAAGACCAGTTTTATTCCAAGTACCTACAAAGAGTTACACCAGAGCACCTGATACTGCTTTATGCTGACATTCAAAGCATTGCTGCTGGCAGCTGTACTCGAATTTGAATGGACTGGGGTTCCCCCATAACAGGATCTCTGCAACTTATGACTTCATGCACTTAGCATTAAAGTGACATTTTAATCCTTTGTCTTTCCCCTACACTGCATATGGAGCCATCTTGAAGGATTCCTAATAAGACAGGCTGAAGTACATCACCTTTTAAGTACAGTCCTCTGTCCTTCAGGCTAAAGTACGAACTACACCTGCCAGTGAATAAAAACAATATGCACTAGCACATGATACAGAACAAACAGTGAAGTTACACCCAGACATTTGTCTGACCTGGTTAGACAAAGTAAACTAGGCTTTATCCAGGACACAAGCTTTACATGATGAGCTCTTGCAACCTTGGCAAACCATGAAGGGTGCATTCACAGAGGTGAGAACATGGTGTGGCCAATACGCTGCACTCAACTCAGAGCCAGCTGTCACCCAGAAACTCATTTTTGCAATCCAGTAAGGAAACAGAATGACAAAAGTTACCAGCAATTATTTGTATTGGACTTAGTGATGGTGACCTGGCTTTCTTTCAATAGTCCCACTCTCCTCAGAGGAGCCAAGGAAAGAGAATGAGACAGTCAGGTATAGAAACATCCATGGAGAACAACTCTGTGGAAGAAATAAAGAAGATACTGAGTTGTTGTATTGGGTGTTGAAGGCAAGGTTTTGGTAGTGGAGGGAGCTGCAGGTCAAGAAGAGCTTAGGGGCTGCCTCATGCAGCTGGTTTTGGCCACCTCCACAATGGACCCACCACATAACACAGCTAAGCCCATCAGCAAGGCTGGTGGCAGCACCTCAGTGAAAACTTCTTTAAGGAGGGTTAGAAAATGCTGGAGGGAGAGAGGAAGAAGTAACAGAGGGAAATGAGAGAATACCAATGTCAGAGGCACAGGAGGTGCTGCATGGTGAAGAGTAGGTACACCCCCAGAGGCACTGCAGCCCGTGGGCAACCAACATCAGTGCACAGGAAAGGAGACAAACAAGTGGCAGCAGAGAAAAACTGCTCCAACCCAACTCCAACCCCTGCACCTCTTGTCACCTCACCGAAGGGACTGAGTGTGGCCTGTAGAAGTAGCAGGGGAGGAGAGATGTTTGGAGCGCAGATGAGCTTGCAAAGGGGGAAAGAAGGTGGGGTTTTCCCTTCTAAGTGTTTAAGGTTTTTTCTTTTGTTTCCCAATAACCAATAGCTGAATTGGTAATTAAATATTTATGTTAGTTGGCAATAAATGAAGTTAAATTCTCCAGGTCAAGTCTGTTTTGGCCATGACAGTACATGGTAACCAATTTCCTTTATTTCCGCCCATGAGTTTTCTCACTCCTATTCCTCCTGTTTACTCCTCCATCCTGTTCTGGTCAGAGGTGGGGATGAGTGAGCAAGCAGCTATGTAGGTACTTGGCTGCTAGCAGGGGCCAATCCATCACTATACCAAATTTCTTTGTTTGCAACAACTCTATTTGCTATGTGACCAAACTGCCTGCTGTGTGACATTACTTATCACAAGACATGAAAGCAAACACTGATCTATGTCCAGAATCCAATAGAGGACCACATTTAACTCCCAAGAAGGAGCAGCAGACCCCGAGAAGAGGGAGGCAGAGAAAATACTGCCACCACCAGGTTCACAGTTTATATCCTGACATTGTATGAAGGATCAGGCCACACGCTGGCTAGACAAACTGATTCTGCAGAGCACGACAGCTGCCCTAAACATGAGCACCAAGTCACACGTGCAACACACAGCAATACACAGTAACTACTGCATCAGCAACATGGTGCTGTAGGACAGTCCAGTTTCTTCTCTGGGCCTCTACTAACATTTTAAATTCCTATGAATCACTATTATTAGTTTAGACTCCATAGAAACCCAACATTTGTGACTGCTCACAACACATGGTTGGGTGGGAGCTGGGCAGACCCTACTGACCAGGAGTCCAAACCTGACTGTATTTATAGAGAGACCTCTGAGAAAAAACAGTTCTTGTGGAACTGTAAGGGGTGCATAGAGAAAGGGAAGGGAGAAAGAAAAAAAAAAAAAGGGGCTTTAGGCATCTGTGGCAAATATGAAAGAAAAATGCAGCCTGAATATTAAAAAATCCATTTTTTTTCCAAAAGAGATTTGTGCACTTTAAGATAGCCTCAAAACACTGTAGCATAAAATTTTAGGTACCATTAGAGCAATAAAGACATATCCTGTCCATCCACACCATGAAGGCATTAATAAGTGGATCTTTGCCATGATACACAACATCAACACAATCTGCAGACATTAATAAACAGCTATGTGACATGACAGCTTATCTTCTTCGAGCAGAGACAATAATACATCATGTCAAACCCAGATGTGGCGTTTTTATGAAGTTAATAAATGCAGATATCCAGAGCGACCGTTCAGTGTTAAATTTCTCTTCTTCAAACAAGGGTGTAGATGATATTGACAACAGTCCTGAAAGAGGACTAAATTTCATTCAAGAAAAAAAAAAAAGCAGCAAAAGGACCTTAATAAAATGGGCATTTTCCTTTCCTCTAACTAGGAAATGTCTAATTCATTATTTTTACAATCTGTACTATGATGTATGCTTGCTTCTGGATGGGAAGCCTTATTCCTTAAGAAAATGTTATGGTAACATTATAAATCCTTGAAAACTTGGAAGATAACCTGAACTGTGAGATATTAAAAGCAGCAGCATGAAAGCTGCTATTTAATAAACTCAGCCAAAATAACAATGTTAAAATAATATTGAGGTATAACCAGTCTGGTTGAAGTCCATAAAAATCAGGAAAATTTGAAGTTATAGCTGAAACTTCTCCCTCTTCTGTTAACTCACTCCTATTTGGGCTAAGCATGTAAAGTACATTCCGAAATGTTATTTGTTGTCTGCACTGTGAACCTGAGAGAAATGAAAGACAGAGTCTGTTGAGAAGTTCAGTTTCTGATAACTCAAGTATGAAATTAACCTTTTCAGATCCAAACAGTCCCATACCTGTTTGCTGAAGCACAGGCAGTGCTATGGTTTTGAAAAGGAAACTTGCGCAAATGAATTAAAATGAAACATTTTTCAATATTTTAGTTGAAATGCAATATTATACTTGTGCTTAACTATAGCAGTGTTCTTCAAAGCTTACAATATAAGCATTTCAATGATGGGTACAGAATGCCATTTCCAACTAAGGCTTTAATTTTCATGAATGAAAGATGCTGGAATTAAGGTTGCATATTGGTCTCTAAATTACACAACTGCACAGAATTTTCCCTGCCTCATTTGAATGCACAAGATGTGTGAGAAACAGAACACGAACTTTAACGAAGGCTGCATTTAGGTTAAATCCCATCTATGTGAGAAACAGAACATGAACTTTAACAAAGGCTGCATTTAGGTTAAATCCCATCTCCTTAATAGTCTCTCTCACCATCTTCAGATCCATCTCATTGCTGAACAAATCTACCTCTGTTATGTTCAAATTATTCTTACTACATAACTCTGCAGCTCCAGTTGCACCACAATGCAGACTGCAGTCACCTTTCTTGGTGCATAGGATTTTGTTTACCCCTCACAAGCCTCTCTCCCCTAAATCAATATACTGCATAGGTGCAGTGAAACAAGGAGAATCATTCAGTTACTAGCTATTCACTGAATCTGTTCTGGAAAGCATGAGGTTTGTATACTTTCTTGACCCAGCTATTCACTGAATCTGTTCTGAAAAGCATGAGGTTTGTATACTTTCTTGCAGAAGGTTCACAACATCAGGGAGGAGCCAACTCCTTAGAAAGAAAACTCTTCTACTCCCATTTTTTCTTCCCTCACTCTTTTGCCTTCCTAATAACTCAACTCCCTGCTCCAAAACACGTAGGTGCAGAGATTTCTGAATCAAGTTCTTGCAGCAAATTTAATAAACATGAGCAAAATACATTTCTCCCCCC